CTACGGCTCAAATCGTGCATGTTCTATTAAATTGCTGAACGCATTTCAGTTACAACAGTCTCATCTCTGATAGTCGAACATTCGAATCTAAGTTTTATGTGTACAACCAAACAGATCAATTTTAATTAGTTAATAACGGAGATAAAACTAAAAATTATTTCGTTGTGCCATTACATCCACAATAGTGCTTTCGTCATGACTTATCTGGTCCCGTGTAGGATTTTAAGTTACATAATTGTTACTTGACCTTGTATTTTTTTTTGTTTCTGTAATTTCTAGAGCCATGAGTTTCAGTTCTATAGTGCCCCACCCTTCCAACTGGAATGCATTAATGCCTTGCGACCGAAATAGCCAAGATGGTGGTACCTACCCGCGCGGGCTCATAAGGCGCCCTAACACTAGTAAGTTTGTTGCACTAGATAGATGAAAGAACTCGCACCCGAAGTTTGATGTCGTCGTGGCCTAACGGATAAGATGTCCGGTGCATTCGTGTTGAGCGCGATGCACCGGTGTTCGAATCTCAGGCGGGTACCAATTTTTCTAATGAAATACGTACTAAACAAATGTTCACGATTGACTTCCACGGTGAAGGAATAACATCGTGTAATAAAAATGAAACCCGCAAAATTATAATTTGCGTAATTACTGGTGGTAGGACCTCTTGTGAGTCCGCGCGGGTGGGTACCACCACCCTGCCTATTTCTGCCGTGAAGCAGTAATGCGTCTCAGTTTGAAGGGTGGGGCAGCCGTTGTAACTAAACTTGAAATCTTAGAACTTATATCTCAAGGTGGGTGGCGCATTTACGTTGTGAATGTCTATGGGCTCCAGTAACCACTTAACATCAGGTGGGCTGTGAGCTCGTCCACCCATCTAAGCAATAAAAATAAAAACCCGACAAAATGCTAAGTGAATATAGATACTCAGTTTTCACGCGCTGATTGTCGCTACCCATTAGAGACTTTAGGTCTATTTAATTAGGAGCTGAATTTCAATAAAATTCCACCCTAAATGCTCGTAACAGTAATATCGAGAATGACGTATGAAAGTTATTCAAACCGTAGTTAACAAGCACTATGAGTATGTCACAGATTCGTGTGCACTCGATGCGAAAATACGCAAGCGACGTAATTGTACAGTCAGCAACAAAACATCGATAGTACAAAACTGGATACCGCTCTGTGTGATATAAGGACCATCCTAAGTAATATAGGCAGGGGAACGTTTATGCAGTATTGTGAATATCCATGCCTCAGCCAGCTCTCATAGCTCTGCCAATGCCGGTCTCAAGCCCGGATGAGAAAAGAAGGGGTTGAGTTGGAGTTCGACATTTCCACCGTAAAACAGCCAACGCTGAATGTTTGGCGGCGGTTATTTAGCCGGACCCAAATAAGGCTTCAGCGGCCTCGAAGAACTAAATCTCTTCCAAAAGCACTGCCGTGGAAGGACGCGGGACTCTGCTATCCGTATTTTCCCCAGAAAGCCTCGTGATCCTCAGCACTGAGGATTATCGACGCAAGGAGGAGTGATGGTAGGACCTCTTGTGAGGAGTCCGCGCGGGTAGTTACCGCCGCCCTGCATTACCGAAACCTCGCACAAATCGCAAACTTTATGCAAGTTATAAAATATCAAAATAGGGAGAGTGAAAAAAATAATAATAATAAAATAAATAAATACTGGTGGTAGGACCTCTTGTGAATCTGCACGGCTAGGTACCACCACCCCACCCATTTCTGCCGTGAAGCAGAAATGCGTTTCGGTTTGAAGGGTGAGGCAGCCGTTGTAACTATATTTGAGACCTTAGAACTTATATCTCAAGGTGGGTGGCGCATTTACGTTGTGGATGTCTATGAGCTATGAGCTCGACTGCCCATCTAAGCAATAAAAAAAAAAAACCATAGTACTGAGACTTGGAACTCATATATTTAGGTTGGTAGCGACATTAACACGGTTGATTTCTATGGGCTTAAGTGACTATTTAATATGAATTGGGCCGTGGGCTCGTTAACCTACCTCATCAATAAAAAAAGTAGCATAATGTAGTAGATTGGTGTACAATTTTAATTTTTACCGGCAATATAAGTATGTACTTACTCAGTACGTTTTCACATTTTTTTCAAATAGATAAAGCACCAAGATCACCTTTAGACTTACATAGTTATGTGAATATTGAGTTCTACGCAATGCCAATTACATTTTACAAATTGCAACTCAAGTTTACTTTGAATTTAATATATCAAAATGAAAGATCTTAGATAAATTCGAAGAGCTCTAGTAAACTCAAAGGAACTGCGAGAAAAAGTATTAAAAATAAAATTAGTGCCTTTATAGGATTTAATAAAATAAGATTACCTTTTGTTTGCGACTGTACGTGCAGGCACGCAGTCGGCCAACGATTTCTGTGTGTTAATGTACACAACATAGACTGCGTAGTTTTAACTAGACATTAGTGGCTTAGTAATGCAGAAATGCGGATGCGATTTGAGTTATTCGCGTGTTAATTACTGATTATGTATCATATATTATTTATCTAACTATATATAAAGATGATTTGCTGTTCGTTAGTCTCTACTAGCTAAAACTCGAGAACGGCTGGACCGATTTGGCTAATTTTGATTTTGAATTATTTGTGGAAATCCAGAGAAGGTTTAAAAGGTACATAAATATGAAAATGCTCAGAATTAAATAAAAATAACAATTTTGTTTTTCCTTTGATGTATCCCCCGTCGGACGGATTCCTTTTGTTTGTTTTAAGTTCATTTTATACAAAAGTTTAGGTCTTTTATTTGAGATTGAGGCACTACGAAGTTTGCCGGGTCAGCTAGTATGATTATAAACTGTAATGGTATCGAGTTGATCGACAGCCCGACAATCCTTGGAAGGCTATGTCAGTGTTACCGAACGTGTATGTGAGCTCACGGGGCTCTATCCTGGTGACGATGCTAACAGTGCTAACACTAGCCTTAGCAAGAGCAGTGCTTCGCAGAATCTACCATCGCAATCGCGACCCACTTAGAAGATCCGGCGAGAAACTCAGTGGGCTGTGTCTGTGGGTTAGTTTACTCGCCGAATCCTTCGTCACAAATGACGGGTTCGACAAGAACGGTCACCGGTGCTTGAGGTACCCAAAAGCACCGTTAGTGGATCGGGAGGATCTGAAATGACATGTTTAAGGCGACGTCGACTGTCTACCATTCATTCCACAGGATCGGGTATGTAGTTACCGGTGGCCACGATAAGAGGGTTTCCGTGTCGTGCCGCTTTCTCGAAATCGGGTAAATGAGACAACTATTTGTACGAAGAAGTACGGCAAAGTCGCCGTGTAGGGTCTTTAATGAAATATATACATTTTAAATTAAAGGCTTAAACGGATAGGCCTGGCGTTTTGTGGTATCTTGCGCCTGTGGACAGCAACGTAAATGTCTTGACACTTTTAGACATTAGATCCAAGTCTGAACTGTATAAAGATTGTCTCATTCTTCAAAAGCCGCCATCACGACAGTAATAAGCGGCATGCTGATATTTACCCTTGAACTGAACCCGTATATTTTGATTATTAGTAAATTAATTTAAAATATATATTACAGACCGACTGACAGACATGTCATGACAATTAGAGGCACGCTCAGTATATGTGTGAAAGACTAATTTTTTTGGAATCACTATTGATCGGTTCTTCAGAGCTCATCGTGTGCTTTCGCGAGTTATTGCTGTGTCCAGAATTATTGTTTGAATCCTATTTTTCGAAACACAAAAACAGGCCGTCCGATTGATAATAAACACTTTATTGATGTCTTCGTGGCCAAAGCGATAAGACGTCCGGCGCATTCGTGTTGAGCGATGCACCGGTGTTCGAATCTCAGGCGGGTACCAATTTTTCTAATGAAATACGTGCTCAAAAAAGCTCGCGATTGATTTCCACGGTGAAGGAATAGCATCGTGTAATAAAAATCAAACCCGCAAAATTATAATTTGCGTAATAACTGGTGGTAGGACCTCTTGTGAGTCCGCGTGGATAGGTACCACCACCCTGCCTATTTTTGCCACGAAGCAGTAATGCGTTTCGGTTTGAAGGGTGGGGCAGCCGTTGTAACTTTACTGAGACCCTTAGAACATATATCTCAAGGTGGGTGGCGCATTTACGTTGTAGATGTCTATGGGCTCCAGTAACCACTTAACACCAGGTGGGCTGTGAGTTAGTCCACCCAGCTAAGCAATAAAAAAAGAAAAAAGTCGGTCTATTGGGATCGGTTTCTTAGGTAATTTGGGTTTCTTCTTCTCAGTCGTACGCACTCTTGACAGAGTGGTCGTGGTCGTCACTTCGGGTGGTGGTGCGCTTCACCAGACGTGGCCATTTCTCGCGTACCCCCGCCCTTGTCGTACACAATTTAGGTTTATCTGGTTGCACAATAAAACAAATTTCGGCTTCCGAATAATATATATTGGACACAACAAATAATTGAAGCCTTGCTTTAAAATACAACACGACTTAAATACAATACAATATATTTATAAACTAACTATAGTTACATCTCAAATATCAATCTAGCTTAATCATTTTTTTTTAGTTTGAAATATTGTTTTTGTTATTGACGGGGCGAACTGAACTTAATCTGTAATGGTTATAGCCAGAGATTATAATATGTGGGCTGATAATGTGAAATCCAGTAGCTTCTCGTATTAGTATAGTATTATAATGTTCGTGTGTGAATGATATTCGTAGAAGACGGTAAAGTTTTGTTATTTTGAAATATGAATTTATCAGTTTTATTTTTTCACACACATTTGACTTACAATTATTATTTTATGTATTCTGATCTTTTTTGTTTTTAGTCCAAATGATCAAATATATTTGTAGATGTAATAGAAAATTAAAATGAGATTTGATTAATCAATCAATCAAAATATCACGATTAGTAGCTAAATATTTAAATATTACGAGTGATTACGCCATTAACTAATATCATAAAGGATTGGTTATTATGTTCTTCAACAGTAATATGTACTTGGTAGATAAAACAGATCGTGATTTATCGAATGATAATTTCAGAAAAATAGTCCATTTTCAAGAAAAAAAATACAGTGTTTTTTCAATTTAACAATAGATCCTTCGATGCGAACTACCGTGGAATACAAACTAACAGACACGCGTTATCATAATATAGATATGGTTATAAATATTTTAATTATTCTTATTTAGATTTTTATGTTTTCGTCGTTTTTAGGCCTCGTTCGTGGTAGCGCTGTGTTCTGTGAAAAAAAAAAACAAAATTCATTAATACGAACCAGTAAATCGAACCGACTTCGGTCCCTATATATGTGGGGAGTGTTATTTTTATTACGTTTTTTTCAGTTTGTTTTTTTGGGATATTTATTTTGCGCCTGTTGCAATGGCAACATTCTATTAGGTTCAGAAAGAGATAGCAGTTTAAGGTTAGAGAGGGTAGTTCGAAAAAAGGAAAAGTTTCAGAAATACGTCACGTACGAAGTGATTGTGAAGTAAAATAAAGAATTTCGCAATATTCATCCCACTTTTACTCACAAACGATCCCACATATATATGATCTTATATTATTTTATATTATCACTGGGGGCTTTTGTTACCATCGAATTCCTCATCATTACTTGATCAGGGCTTACAGTAGTTATTTATTTAGATACCGAGACGAAAAATATTGAAGTAGCATCATGCCTTTTATTAACGGGTGAATGACTTCTATGTAATGTATCCAGTCTCTTGTATCTATAACACAGGGAATCTTCATTTGGGGCCGGAAAAACGGCGTGATTTGTTCCCAGTTAATTATTGAGACTATATCTGATATCTAGTAACCGTCGGGGGCCAAGTGAGCTCATGTGCCCTCTAAATTAATTAATCATATGATTAATATCCGATTTAATTCAAAAAATTCAGAGGAATGAAGGAAAATATTTAAATTCAAAAGAAGACACACGTCTCCTATCATTGATCTTCTGAAATTTCGATTTGAATCACCTGTCCTCGTTCTTACAGCGAGCCTAGTCACCATACAATTGTTTCCTGAAGCTTAAAAAATTCCAGGACCAATTTAGAATCTCTCGTTAAAGTTCAATATTACGTGAACTTTTTTTGTTGCAAAGTTTCTTTCGTGTTTTTTGGGTTTTTCGTTCGTTTAATATTAATGTTAAGTCTAAAACTGAATTAATTACGTATTTTACTTTAATATTAAAATTTTTTTTTATTAGTCTGACGATTGTGCAAAGGCGCTCTCGACCTAATGTTTTAAAGCGAAAGCGCATATGATGTCAATGGACTTCTATTACCACTAACTGCCGCTCACTCTGCAGCAAAATGTTTTAGAAAAAATCTGAAATTTTAAAACACACTACCTTTGTGTTGCTTTATTCGTCGACAATCGTGTTTCTTGACAATGTTTTTTTGCTTAAGATCAGATTATGAAAAAAGCTCCTTAACTGTTCTTTCGACACCCTTTAACTTATCGCGTGAAAGCTTCTTAGCTTTGCAAAAGACAACGTACTAAGTGGATGCATCAATGAGCTGTGACATTTTTTTAAGCTTTTACATCCTGTAAATGCATAAGTCATATCCCTAAATATTCTCTCAGGCTGAGCCCCGTGAGCTCGCCTACACATTCGGTAGAGCTAACATAACCTCCCGAAATTACTAGCAGTAGGTAAGCCAAAACAAAAACCCAAATAAACCTTATAATCATAGATTTTTTTAATTGATCGCAAGAAACGCATTGACATTCATTCAGAAGTTTAAAAGTACTTTTTTAAAAGATGTCCTTTGTTTTCTTACAATTCTACGAGCATACGGCCCATCTGATGTTTAGTGGGGACTGACATTTATGGATATCTATTACCGAGTGTTTGAGCAAGGGTTTGATTAATTTTAGTGACATTTTCTATATCTTCAAAAATAAGATTAGGTCTTTATCTATAAAATTTCAAACAAAAAAGGGCATAGTTTTAGTGGTAGATCATCAAAAAGTTTAACTTTTAATTTCAAAAGTTCAATGGTTAAGATGAAAGCCCTCGGTACAGTGGCGGCGTGGAACACAGCGCGCGGTGTTGATTATCGCTTGATTGAGCCGACACAAGAGCGTTAATCTAATCTTTATTCGTACAAACTTGGCTGCCGTAACCGCAGAATCGTAAAAGGTCAAGAAGTTTAACGAATACTTGAGGTATCTGTAATCTTTGAAACTCTGAGGTATAAAGTTTTTTTTAATTAAACTGGTTCATTGTGTTTTTCCTAGACACTTGTTCTATCTCGCAAAATGGGGCTAGCGACGGGGAGAATGCGTGAGAAGGCTTTAAGCGCGGTCGGCCCGGGGACTACACCGAGGTAGCTGTTCGGATCATTAATGCGTCTATCCGTTTTGTATTGAAAACATTCTCAAAAATAAAACGCATACAAGATGATTCGTAATAAAATAATTACAAGTATTCTTTGGTACGTAATTTATCAGCTTTTGAAATCAGGTAACGGCGTCCGTCGTCTCTGGGGAAGGCAGGGGGCGATTGAACATGTCTTTTACGGTTTTAAGAAATTATAAGATCATTAACTATGTGTGATTATCGGTTATCGAAATTGGACTATAATCACAGATACCCCAAGATTTATTTTGTATTTCCCTTTCCTGATTGACATTTTTACTTGTGAAGCTAAAGCTTTATTTGATACTACTAATAAATCTGGTAGGTATTTTAGTACAATCTCAATCAATCAATCCCAAAGGGTCATCAGAATTTATTGTGTGAAATGTTTTGTTAATTTAGAGGTTGTTTAGATTTAAATCTGTAACTAATTTTAGTTTTTAACTGAGCTACTAAAACACAAAACACATTAATTATAGTACAAACACTACGATCTAGATTTTTCTATTTTCAATAGAATCTACAATAGCATGCATTGAGAGCAATAGAGAGCAAAGAGGAAGAATTGATAGAGGAATATAGGAAGATCTCGGAGCTACGATGCTTATGCATAGAGTAACATGAAAAAGGGGAAACCGTGGTACAGATTATGTAATAAAATTGGATGTACAGCATATTATAGACAATTCGTGGATGCCGTCACTGGCATAGAGACATGAGGCAGTATTGTCTATTGCATTGGAATCATGTGTATGTTTTCGTTCGTAAGTGAGGAAAATTGGTACCGAAGAGTCTCGAAGACACTATTCTTATCCAGAAGGTTCTAGTTATCTTAGATTCAATGGACGCAGGAAGGTGGAATATCGATGGATGGGTGGATTGAATGGTAGCGAATTATGGCTGGTCAGGAGTTGCTTTGGGCAAATTGGATTGATCCGTGTGCTCCTTTTAATAGCGCTCCACCTCAATCCACCACTTGGAATTATTGCAATCGTGACAGTGCGTCTCCAGACATCATTTCTGTGAAGTGCTATCCAATTTTTGAACTAACTCTTGTGGTACACAATTTTCTCTTAACTCTTTGATACATCATGAAGGTGGAAAAAATCCATTGCTTCAGTAGAAGCCTGGCCGTGCCTTTAGCAAGACCACTTATCATCAGGTTGCAAAATATTTAAAAATCTACGAAACTACACGAACTATTCATAATCAAAAAAAGATGTACCAAAATATTATTTAACCGTGTTCGTCGGACGATAAAGCGGCTTCGTCATGACCAAGTTTATGGCAATAGCAGTGTCAAAAAAATACTTGACTAACACCTAACACACATTCTTGATACTAATGTATAACAAGCATCATTAATTTCCGAGTCTCAACCCTATTTCTTAGTTTGGAAACATGCGGAGATACCTTTAGACTAAGATGGCAATTACTATGGTGCTATGGTAATACGTGCAAAGTTTGTACATTCTAAAACAGTGCTGGAAGAATTTGACAGTGACAGAAACGTTGACAGAAAAGTCTGTGCTTGAAATGTTTTTTATGTGCTGCATCAAATTTTACAGATTACACGTGAACAGTGCTGGAAGGTGATGACAGTGACAGAACTACATGACATTGACAAGTCTTCGTTCAGTTTACCGTCCTCCAGCGCGTCCTCGGGCTTCGACGATCGTTTCCCCCAAGCACCCCTCAGATTTGTCCAGCTAGGTTCCCTCTTCAAATAATAAGCGCCTGTTGGTTTGAGTATGATGTTGAAACTTTGAGTTGAAATGCTATCTCACCGGCAGACAGTCATCTAGTCTCCACAATAAGACCTTTTATTGGTGGTAGGATGTCTTGTGAGTCCGCACCGGTAGAACTCACCACCCTGTTTATTTAGGCAGTGAAGCAGTAATGCGTTTCGGTAGCCCACTGAGTATCTCGCCGGATCTTCTCAGTGGGTCGCGTTTCCGATCCGGTGGTAGATTCTGCGAAGCACTGCTCTTGCTAGGGCCAGTGTTAGGGTGAAGCTGAAATAGCCTCTCAAGGCTATCAGCATAGGTAGAAAAAAAAAAGCGTTTCGGTTTGAAGAGTGGTGGGGCAGCCGTTGCACTGTCAAAAAACAGACCATAGATCTATTGTCTCAAGGTAGGTGGCGGCATTTACGTTGCAGATGCACTTCTAGGTTGTAGGTGTAACCACTTAACATCAGATGGACCGTGAGCTCGTCCATCAACCTAAGCAATAAAAGAAAAAATCAATTGTAAACACTATCACTAAGTCATCAGTGAGTGTTTTTCACTTATAATTTTGTGAGCATTTGAGTACTTGAGTAGGCATTTTGTAGAATCGATTATTGTTTACTACAATACAAGCAAATAAATTTAGTTAATTATTGATTAATTGGGAATTCAATTCATTTGAAATACAAACTTATTTTATCTACTTTGAAGCGGAAAGTCTGTTGCCTCTGAAACCTCGCAATTTCCGCGCTGTGTTTTATATATTTTTAAAACAGTTACGCCGATCTCGGCTATGATCGATTTGCTTCCGCCCGCGAGTCATAGCGTGAAATGCTATAGTCTAGTTATATACTTTACAATTATGAGATTGCATAGTGGAAGGTTTGCTTCCGTATCGCTGCCAGGGGAAAATCGCCCGTATTGTGTTATCGCTGTAAATGTAGTTGCTCTGTGTCCATTTGTCTACAACTTAGTCTACATCTTAGTCTGCATCACTTGAGTTTTTCTTACGCGACCAAGACAAAAGACAAAAGAGTAACCGTTTTTTATCAGGATTTTTTTTTCACAATTTATAAATAAAGTATTTAATGTATTTTACAAACAAATCTTATCCCACACAGCTGAGCAACTACTTGACTTTATAAGTTTCAGGCGGTTTTTTGATAAAGTTTCCGGAACTCTGACTGGGGGTAGGACCTCTTGTGAGTCCGCACGGGTAGGTACCACCACCCCGCCTATGTCTGCCGTGAAGCAGTAATGCGTTTCGGTTTAAAAGGTGGGGCAGCCGTTGTAACTATACTGAGACCTTAGAACTTATATCTCAAGGTGTGTGGTGCATTTACGTTGTAGATGTCTATGGGTTTCAGTAACCACTTAACACCAGGTGGGCTGTGAGCTCGTCCACACATCTAAGCAAAAAAAAAACTATATTGCTCACATAATTTTTGTTTTACTAACAAATTGTCTAGAAGAGTTTGTTATTAGCATTTTGTCCGACAATAATCTTAGTTTAATTAAGTAAACGGTTTATTCATTTTGATGTTAAACGAGTCATCCTATTATAATAATGCAAATTGAATCATAGTTACTCCGTGAGCAAACCGCATTTAAACTTGATTTAATTTGACAAAAGATGAGATGCTCCGAAAAATTATCTCCAAATACATTCCAGTCTTGTTTTATGACGGAGAAAGTCAAATTAATATATTTTACGAGTAATAGATGAAATTTCTTAACGCTTCGAATGTCAAAGCGATATGAAACATTATTAGCTACGTGTTAAACACGAAATGTTATTTAAAACGATTTTAATAAGCCGCACACGGTTATTGACTGTCAAGCTTAAATTTGAAAGGAAATAAGCACGTAATTCTGGGCATTCTTGTTGGAATCACCTTTGACATTGTTATTATAAAAAAACAAGTTTATTTTTATTTTTTTATTGCTTATATGGGTGGACGAGCTCACAGCCCACCTGGTGTTAAGTGGTTACTGGAGCCCATAGACATCTATAACGTAAATGCGCCACCCACCTTGAGATATAAGTTCTAAGGTCTCAGTATAGTTACAACAGCTGCCCTTCAAACCGAAATCGAAGAATCGAATTGACTGGTTACCTTTTTAGTAATTCGTTAAATTGTAATGAAATTTTAAAACAAAAAGCCCTAAAACATACACAAAACTAATTCATTAATATCGGTCCAGTTGTTTAGTATTGGATCAATGACAAAAGTATTTAGACGTACCGTAGTATTGTATTTATGAAGATTTATTTCTTAGTGTCTTAAATTTAGGTAAATTTACGAATTTACCCTTAGCCAGTGCGTGACTGAGAAACACAGAGAAAACCAAAGTCCCTCCGCAGATCCTGAGGTTCGAAGCGAGCTTTAAGGAATAAAATCAAATACTTCGAATACCAGAAATGATCAGAGTTACGAGGAAACGTATTAACGGATTATTAATTAACCGAGGTTGGCTCGCATCGATCGACGATGCGAGGAAGTCTGGACCAGCACGATGCAAACGGACCACTCTTATTTGTCTAATTTTGCACGCGCACTTCATAAATCATCATCAGTGTAAAATTTATTTGGGGCCAAAATGTATCACTACGATGTAACTACAAATCAATATAACATACATACACGATTGAGATTATCCAGAGATACCCACAAATTTTGTTAATTGTCGCGACAATAAATCCCATATCTAAAGCTGGTGGCCGTAGGCTTTTCCAGTTTTTCCAGGACAGGTGGGCGAACAAAGGCTCAGCCAGGAGGGTTGGGATTTGCTAACAGCTGCCCGAGCGCCTTTAAAGGAGACCTAACAACTCAAGAGCAGCTGCTTTGTGAATGAATCTACTACTGGATCGGAATCGCGACCGCTGAGAAGATCCGGCGAGAAACTCAGCGGACTGATGAATGAGATTACGTGTTTAATTCAATTTGCTTTCAACAACTAATGCGGTGGCGTGTTGTCAGAAATCTTGAAGGCTGTCTCAATACCCACCATTGTTGAACATAGGTTTGACCGGTCTCTTGCCCCAGGTTCCGTGAAGGGCTGACCAGGCCTTTTTCTCAGGAGCCTCGATGTGCTCTTCGTTAGGAACCTGTCGTAGAAACATATGATTCGAAGCTAAATCCAGTGATCGTCTAAAATAAAATATGTTCAGAACTAAGGTAGCTCTTTTTTTTTAGCTTTTTTTACTGGTGGTAGGACCTCATGTGAGTCCGCGCGGGTGGGTACCACACCACCCTGTCGATTTCTGCCATGAAGCAGTAATGCGTTTCGGTTTGAAGGGTGGGGCAGCCGTTGTAACTAAACTTGAGACCTTAGAACTTATATCTCAAGGTGGGTGGCGCATTTACGTTGTGGATGTCTATGGGCTCCAGTAACCACTTAACCCCAGGTGGGCTGTGAGCTTGTCCACCCATCTAAGTATTAAAAAAAAACTTAGCATAGCTTTGTGTTGACCAGACTTACATGGATCGATGTGGGAATTTTCAGTCTAGAGCCTTTAGTAATGAAGATCGGAACCAAGAAAGAGAGGTATTTATCACTAAAGTAGTAGTACAATGACGACAGCATTGAAGATGCTAATGGCGTTTCTATAACGGCAATCACATTGTGGTGAAATGAAATAAAGTCGTTTTTGCAATATCATGTCGAACGCTCACTGCTGGATCCAAACCGCTCATCACAATAATTGCATGTGCCGTTTTTCTGTGACCGTGAAACCGGAATTGTCACCGGAAATAAATAATATTTTCGTTAGTTTACCTGCTGGTAAGGAACGAGCTGTTCTACGGCATCAATTTCTTCGTAGTCCGGTTCGATGCTGGACCTCTTGCCCCAAGAACCGTGAAATGCTGCCCACTTCTCCTACGAAAACATCAGCGTATTTATTCAAACAAATGTCTTAACAAAACAACATACTGTATTGATAACGTAATGTGTTCATGTATTATATGCTTGGACGAGCTTACATCCCACCTGGTGTTAAGTGGTTACTGGAGCCCATAGACATCTACGACGTAAATGCGCGAACCACCTTGAGATATAAGTCCTAAGGTCTCAAGTATAGTTACAACAGCTGCCCCGCCCTTCAAGCCGAAACGCATTACTGCTTCACGGCAGAAATAGGAAGGGTGGTGGTACCCACCCGCGCGGACTCACAAGAGGTCCTACCACCAGTGTATGTGTGGGTGTGTGCAAAACATGCTCGCTTTGCGTGTTAATATTACGGCCTTGTCACTCTGTCTCACAAGGGCCTCTCGTGTTCTAAGAAAAATTGACCTCATGTGTCATGAATGAAGGCACTCGCGTTGGTATGTATGAGGCTAAATTACCTATGTGACATTGTGCGGAAATCTTACGGTAAATAAACTTACAGGTGCCCGTTTTCCCCAAGCAGAGCTCATATCCTGCCAAGCGCGTTTGCCCCAAGCAGAGTTCAAGTCTTGCCAGGCACGTTTGCCCCAAACAGAGCTAATATCGTTCCATCCTCGCTTTCCCCAGGCGGAATTCAGATCCTGCCAAGCGCGCTTGCCCCAGGCCGAGTTCAGATCTTGCCAGGCACGTTTCCCCCAAACGGAGTTCAAATCTTGCCAACTCTTTTTCTCCATAGCCTCATCATCATCGCGCTTGCCCCATGCAGAGTTCAGATCTTGCCAGCCTCTTTTACCCCATGCCGAGTTAAGATCCTGCCATGCGCGTTTGCCCCAAGCTGAGTTCAAGTCCTGCCATCCGCGCTTGCCCCATGCTGAGTTGAGGTCCTGCCATGCGCGCTTGCCCCATGCCGAACTCATGTCTTGCCAGGCGCGTTTAGCCCATCCACTGTGCAGGCTGCTCCAGGCTCTCTTGTCATCTTCTGTTAAGTCCACTTCGTTGTCGGTCTGCGAAGATAAAGGTTAATTACATTAGTTTCTATTTTCCAGTTAAATAGATATTTCGGGAAATGTTGAAGAAGGCTTCGTGGTATCGTGGTAATTTCCATAAAAGATTTTGTCTTGAAAATCACGAAATGAAAATGCACCGACCGAAAGAAATCTGTATCGAGAACACATTTGTTGTCTCTGGTAAACAGAACTTACGTTGAGAGTGTGATTATTTGAACCGGTTACCGGGAACCGCGTCTTACAGGAGTTGGTTGAGCATTTGTCCGGCTTTTTATGCGGTAATACGGCGCTTCGAAGGGCACAAATAGAAGTTTTATAGGGCTGCCACGTGGGATTCATTTAAAAATACCCAAAAATAAATTTACCTCATGGATTATTTTTAAGATATATCTGGATTGCTTGAAAATATGACATATGTATATGCTCTTAACTGGCCATCGAGGATCATATACAACGAGAGTGTCTTCATATAAATTGATACATGAATTCAATTTTATAACATGTTTTATATTCACTATCAAAGCTGCTAAGTCTATTAACTAGGATAATTGATATTGTTGTGCGATTTTTTTTTACCGTACTTTTCTTAAGATGGAAAAATTCAAGGTGAGTAAAAGGCCATCACGGTGCCTACTTTTTACCAAGTGAGCCATCTGCCCGCTTAAAAGTTAGGGAAACACGTATTTTAGCTACGAAATTGAACTAATTATAAAATGAAATAGCTTGTCGTAATATTCAATGTCGCCTTGAAACACCATGGAAACTGTTTTTCGTAATTCGTTTTCCAAAAAAATATCTTATGAGTCGTGACAGCCCTGACTCGGCAAACAGAATCCCGTACTACAATAAACAGACGTTCTCATGGATCCGCCAGTCGAAAACGTAATGTGTCTTATAATAATATTATTATCATTAATGAGCTTTTAGTAACATGATATTATCGCTCGTGGGTAAGGAGTGTAACACACGGAAGAATGTATCCTATTAACTCAATTACTAAGCGGGTTACAAAAATACTTTCTCGTTCTCTTATTCTGTTTGAACTGTCTGGTTTTGAGTCATCGTGAACACTACTGTTAACAGCGCGCTGCGCTGATGTCAATGCGGTTAATCTGTGGTTTTTTATTATCTGTGATAGCTGAGCTGTCAATTCCAAAAAAGCGAAAAGAAAAGTTGGCGGACGAATTGTGTTAAGTTAGTCATTTAACGAACGGACGCATTCTACATTCGCTCTCGCTGCTTTTAAGCTCTTTAAGCACCGGTCACCGTCCTCTTCGAACTGACGGTATATTCTGCGAAGCACTACTCTCGCTTTAGTTAGCATTGTCATGCTGACCCTTAGGTTACCAGCGAATAAATAGGAAAAAAGGGCGTATTGCACCGCTCTTATTTCAGTGTAACTAAACGATGACCGAGCTTAGCTCGGTTTTTTTTGGATAACGCCATCTTGTTGTGTCTTTAAAGCAGTTAGTTGCTCTCAATTGAGAAAAATAGTATTATTATTCGCCAATAGATGTCGGTAAGANTACGGAGGCCGGCCGACGGGTCCGCCAAGCGGCGAGACCACGCCTCCAGCACGGACCGCCGAGATTGGAGCCTCCGCGCTCGAACTACACCTTCGCCGGGGCGCCCTTCCCCCCTAGAGCGGAGGTCGCTACGCCACCTGTAATCAGCAGCGAGCGCCTCCGCCTCCAGGTCCCAGGGTGGCGCCCCGGCGAGCAAGCATGCCGCCTCGAAGGAGACGGTGCGGTATCCTCGGATCGCCCTGACCGCGATCGCGCGCTGCGGACGTCGCAGCGCCGCGACGTTCTTGCGGGTCAGGGCGTGGCACCATACGGGAGCCCCGTATAGTGCCATCGACCGCACCACCCCCATGTAGAGGCGGCGCACCACCTGATCGGGACCCCCGACGTTTGGAAGCAGCCGGCTCCGGCCGGAGCCGGAGCCGGCCGTCGCCATCAGTCGAGGGCCCAACTTCGCAAAGTGAGCGCGGAAGTTCCACCCCCCAAAACCCCCTGTATACTACATTTTTGTTTTTTTGCTGAATCATCTTCATGAACCGCCTAGCGTTGTCGTCATGATAGATGAAATAAGTTCGTATAAACACAAACAGTTGTAACTTTTTTTAGTTTGTAATTAATCACAAAATTATAAATTAGATATTGATTGGGATGTGAGTAATACTTAAAGACGCGATTCTATTTAGAAGCAATTTATTGAAAACTTATGGTCCCGTCTTTCTTATTTCCTTTTTTTTGTCTTCCTACCTAAGCCGATGGTCTTGAGAGACCATTTCAGCGTAACCTCAACAAGTAAGTGAGCTCACGGAGCTCAAACCTGACGACTAACTAGGGTTGCTAACACTAACCCTAGCAAGAGCAGTGCTTCGCAGTAACTACCACAAGATCGGAAACGCGACCCACTGAGAAGATCCGGCGAGAAACTCAGTGGGCTGTGTCTATGGGTGTCTTATTTCCATCGGCGACTGATGAACTAACGTCCCACCTGATGGTAAAGCCTTTAGGTGGCGAGTGTTCATTTGCGAGTGTGCGTTACGGTCTTTATGATTGAAGGATTACTGGTGGCCCGGAGGCCTGGAGGCCTTTCCAGTTTCACCAGGACAAGTGGGCGAGCAAAGACTCAGCCAGGAAATTGCCCTTGTAGGCACGAGCATACGGCCCACCTGACGGTGAGTGGTTACCGTCGCCCATGGACCTCAGCAATGCCAGGGGCAGAGCCAGGCCGCTGCCTACTAAAAATAAACAAATATAATGTTTTGTTGGTAAATTTTAGTAATTAACCATATTTATGTAAGCTTTTTTTCTCTTTTAATTTGATTGAGCACCAATTGTCCTGATTGTCGGGGAGGTGAAGGGCAGACCGTCTTCAAACTCAATAGCTCGTGAAAAGACTCGTAACGAAAGTACTCCTGGTATTTTAGAGACATCGTCCTCGATCCTTGAGGCCATTGTAAGCCCATTTGACAAATTGTGTTTTGTTTTGTAGGACTTCAAGACTCTGGGCTGACATAAATAAAGGCATTAATATTGTTTTTTAATATTTATTTTCAATTGTGTTTTCGATGTAAACTTCACTGTCGGATATTACGTGATAAACAGACACTAGAGGATGAGGTATTTTTTTTTAATAAATTGTGTTTTTCAGAAATTATATTTAAATACGCATTACATATTGATATTAAATTGTTTGTTATTTTCTTTCAATAAAAAAAAAAATGTTTAAGTTTATTATCCATAAAGTTGATTAATGAAAACACGAAAAAAACAACATTTTCTGAAAATAAATAGTAGCTAGATCGATTTATCGCCTCCCAAATCCCCTGTATACTAAATTTTATGAAAATCGTTGGAGCCGTTTCCGAGATTCAGATTATATATATATATTTATATACAAGAATTGCTCGTTTAAAGATATAAGATAAACTTTGATTGCCGAGAAGGTGATTGAAGCCCACAGAATGTGCCAATTTAAAATATAAAATATGCAATGCGGAAAATTATTGTGTTACTGCAAATTATAGATTTTAGAAATGTTCACTGTAACTTTTAAAACTTGAAGAATTATCAAACGCTGCTGATGACCATTGACTGACCTGTGGCGCAGCGTCATGATGAGGCTCCTCGGCAGCCGTGACCACAGTGGCCACGCCGAACACCCACAGCGCGAATAAACACCAACGCATCTGTGGACAATGAGAATAACATCCTTCAATTATATCAGTCTCCATCAAATTAAATCTATTTCTACAAGACCCCTCACATACAGGAGGAGTGTAGCATTTTGAAGGTACATGTATGTTGGTTTATTTATCCAGCTTAACTATTAAGTCCTTACATGGATTTGCATGTATGTACACATCAACTCGACTGGCACAGGTTAATTTTAACCAATGTTAAATCAAATGGGACGTACTAAATTCGGTTGTATCTTTGTTTTCATTTTCTAGGTGACTCGATTTTGAAAGTTATTTCATGATCTCTGTAATGTAATGTTTGAGTTGAGCTTAATAATGTAAATATAATTTAATTTTTTATTCTCAGAGATGCTCCTTCTATAGTGCTTTGACTTTTACACATTTAACGGTAGGCAGCGGCTTGGCTTTGCCCCTGGCATTGCTGAAGTCTACGGGCGTCGCCCGTAACCGCCGCGTAACCACTCACCATCAGGTGGGTCGTATGCTCATCTGCATACAAGGGCAATAAAAAAAACATGTGTAAGCCAATAGTTTTTCATACCGAAGACCACTGGTTTGTAACTAATCTAGAAGACAATTTGACATAATATAATCTAAAAATAAATACAAAACATAATTCGTTAGAATATTTTCTAAAATTTTCTTGTCAATAATTAATTGCTTGTGATTTTTATCCTCATTTATACGATGTTCGAGATATTATTTGAGATTCGGGGATCAATTATGTATATTAAAACATTATATGGAACTGTAGCGTTAGTGGCGTAATACATGAGACGCCCAGTGTACTCGTAGCTAGCGATGAGTCTTAGGTCACATCCGCAGACAGATGCTATTTTATTTCTAAACAATCTATTTAACCGGTTTTCATAATTTGCTTAGTAACCAGTGGTAGCTCGATTCCAGTTTAAAAGGTGTTATAATATAATAGTGTTGAGACTTTGAGGTCTCAGGATGGCAACATTGACGTTGTAATGTCCAAGGATGTACTTTATTTTTATTTTTTATTGCTTAGATGGGTGGACGAACTCCCGGCCCGCCTGGTGTTAAGTGGTGGTTACTGGATACATATACAACGTAAATTTCGCCACCCACCTTGAGACATGGGTTCTAAGGTCTTACTTTTAATTTTAAACCCAAACGCATTACTGATACCCAATACCTTCTTTACCATAAGGGCACACGGGGCCCGTGCCCAGGGCCTCCATTCTCAGGGGGCCCCGAAAGACCGACAATTTCTCGCACACGTTTATTCTCGAAACATTTTTGGCGGGCACATTACACTTTTTTCACAAATCAGTAATCAGAAGATATTTACAAGGCATATACTATGCCTATAATAGAAGATTTTGCTCAACAGAAATCCCGAAAGAAACCGTTATCGAAATCGTAACCAAAAAACCAGGAGCATTCTAATATCATTAATGACATATTATATCATACTGTATTTGATAACTTATAATAAATGGTCTAATACTCAGTAAAAAAATGTTATTATAATTCGCTTTTTTTACTTTCCAAAAGGGCCTCAAATTCTTGTGTGCCCAAGGGCCCCATCCTAGTTTAAGACGTCCCTGGTCCTACCACCATTAGAATGCCATGTACTGCTAAAAGAACAACCACGAAATGAATGGAAGCAATCTATCCGTCCGAAGTTCGGTATTCGCAAATATAAACAGAAGAAAGCGAGTACACCATTTCACAAAGTGTCGCAACAAACTATCTCAGACACTTAGACACTCGCCGACACGTACGTGGAGTTTCAACTTACATCAAGCACTTGGCAACTCGTGTGAGACGACTATGAAAATCACGTTCGTCTAATAATTGAATTAATTCAAACGATTTCTTTGTTTCTACAAATTCGGTGTCATCAATTATGTAAAAAATTGTTTTTTCCTGGCTGACACTTGGTCGCCCACCTTTCTTGAAGCAAAAGCCTCCGTGCCACCATTAATTCCTCAATCATAAAAAAGTGAGAGTTTCCAGAGCGAATTTGAGTGTAATATTACTTAGTCTGGCCATAAATACTGTTACAATTAAAAATAAACAAAATATGACATTTGAATTTGGAATCTGTCATTTTTATATGATTGCTCATTGAGTTTTCTCATTTTGGCGCCAATACATTGTACAATATTTTGCGATATTAAAATGGAGTGGGGTGATAAAGAGAACCGAATCGCTGTGATTGCATTACACAAAGTAGGTATGTCTAACTATTGCAGTTGTGCCGCAATAAGTGTTCTTTTATTTAAAAATAAAGCAACGTCAAATATCGTTGAAATTTTTGTTAAAGACCTGAGCGGGGCCGGAGCGGCTCGCAATAAAACAATGGATATTATAACATGAAATTTTGTTTTGCGCGTCACATTGTCGTGTTCTCGCATCGCATGTAACTGAATCGCTTCAGCATCAAACTTTGTTAATCATCCATCACACATAAGGGGAGTAAGTAAGTAACGCCAGTGACAGAGAGAAAATAAAGAGTGGTAGATTATGGTAGTGGTATGGTCATGTGAGAGAAGTTGGTAGTACGGAGATGACGTATGGGCTACGATAGGGACATGCTGCCCCGACCCCACGTGGTGGGATAAGATCAATAAGACGAAGACACCACAATGACGCCAATGTCGATTTCCCGTTTTTATTATTATTAAAATACTAATTTTTCCTCTACGATAGTATAGGGGTTATTTACAGAAAAATAATTGCGCAAACGATATTTGGGAGGCGAAGTCGTGTTTAAATTAGTTCCGAACAGTTAGATCGTCGGCCACTAAGCAATGTCCGCTGTCGGCCAAAGGCATTTTTTTTTCCCCTACCGATGCTGATAGCCTTGAGAAGCTATTTCAGCTTACCTTAGCGTGTGTAGGTGAGCTCACGGGGCTTAAGCCGGAGAGTTGCTAACACTGACCCTAGCAAGAGCAGTGCTTCGCAGAATCTACTACCCGATCGGAAACGCGACCCACTGAGAAGATCCGGCGAGAAACTCAGTGGGCTGTGTCTGTGGGTTAATTCGCTCGTCGAGCCCTTCGTCGCAAGCGACGGCTTTGACGAGGACAGTGACCGGTGCTTGTGGTGCCTAAAAGCACCATTTATGGATCAGGAGGATCCGTAATGACGTGCTATGGGCGACGTCGACGGTTTATCATTCGGTCTACTGGGTCGGGTATGTACCTTAAAAGGCATTGCCACCGTTCTTCCCGATAATCTGGTATAAGTTAGAGTTTATACCCCTTAAAATTTTATATCAATTATGTTAATGCGCTCTGTACTGAGTTCAATTACATTTACGTCACGTGCTACCCACACGTGATCTCAATGTTAAATTTTAAATGAGTTCCAAACGAAGTGACATTATTAAATGCGAATTTAACGTTTATTAATTTTAAATTCAATTTCAATCTTGGTTTAATTTTCGATAAATTTCGAATTTTTATAGAATTTCCCGAATTTCGAGCAATTCAACAACAAAACGGACGATAGCTAATTCCTATCATAAACATTTATCTAGTAACACAACATACTTATAGAAGTAGTTACTATAACTAATATACTTATAGAAGAATACTTATAGAAGTACTTATAGAAGTATGTTGTGTTTTATACATACATACTTATAGAAGTATGTTGTGTTTTAATCACACCTTATTAAGAGACTAGCGACCCGCCCTCGCTTCGCCTGTGAAACATTAAATTTTATTATTGATAGCTAAGTCCTGCGATGTTACCCGCGGTTATTGTCGTACCGCGGGTGAAGCCGCAGGGCGAAACTAGTCTAAAAAAGTAGCTTAAGTTACTCCTTATATCATCAGTTACCTATTAGTCAAAGTCTCGTCAAAATCGGTCCAGCCGTTCCAGAGAATAGCCGGAACAAACAGACAGACAGACAAAATATGTAAAAAATATTATTTTGGTGTATGTACCGTATATATATTCATATGCATGTAGTAAAAAGCGGTTATTTCATTATTACAAACAGACACTCCAATTTTATTTATATGTATAGATGAGCAATGGAGCTAACTATACACACCGTTTGCAATAAGCACTAGATCCATAAACATAATTGGAACTGCTTCAAATCGTTACGATACATGAGGTCGATATCCCAACTGAACTATATGTGAATTGTTTGTAACAGCTCACAGTGGAAGCTAAATAAAGCCATAATAATAAAGTCGTAACAATGGCTGCGCTAAATTCAATACCAACATCAGTGTTTCAAACACGCATTGAATCGCGTTAAGCCATTCCGATAGTGGACGATGTAAGCTAGTCCATTCGAGTCAAACAGATCACCGCGCAATGAGTTAACTGCAAAAAAAAAAAAGGTTCGCTCCCTCACTAATAACCACGGGTCATAGGTTAGCGAGAGATGTGACCTTTCTATTAATAAAATGCGCGGTAAATGTTTTATGCTGACGTATTTATATAGTACTAGGTGACCGGGCCAACGTTATTTTACCATAAAATAATGTAAATACCGACTAAAGTGCCATCTGCCGGGCTGATTTGTGAATCTAAACCATCCAGGGCGTCACCCAAACGCATACAAAAAAAATCGTTCAAATCGGTCCAGCCGTTTAGGAAAAGTTCAGTGACAAACATACGCACAGAAGAAATCTATACTAATATATAAACCTACAGTGGTTTTTACGAGTAAATTAACCCATAGACACAGCCCACTGAGTTTCTCGCCGGATCTTCTCAGTGGGTCGCGCTTCCGATCCGGTGGTAGATTCTGCGAAGCACTGCTCTTGCTAGGGCCAGTGTTAGCAACTCTCCGGTTTGAGCCCCGTGAGTTCGTTAGGGTGAAGCTGAAATAGCCTCTCAAGGCTATCAGCATAGGTAGGAAGAAAAATAGTCTCACACAGTTTCTGAGGTTATCTACATCAATGAAGACTGCGGCGTATCAAAAATCATTTCATCAACCATTAACTTTAAAGTTGTTTAAGGACGATATTCGCCTCTCCGCAAGTCAA